TCGAGGGAGATTTCGGAACCTCCCACTGCATAACCGCCTCGATATTGGCCGGGTCGACCAAAATCCCCTCCTGGTTAACGAGGTGTCCAAGGAACTGAACCTCTCGTAACCAAAACTCGCATTTCGAGAACTTGGCATACAACCGTTCTCGCCTCAAAACTACCAATAGCTCACGGAGATTCTCCTCATGCTGCTCCCTGGTATTGGAATACACCAAGATGTCATCTATAAACACAATGACCGAGCGATCGAGCATCGGTCTGCAAAACCGATTCATCAGGTCCATAAATACTGCCGGCGCATTGGTGAGCCCAAATGGCATCACCACGAACTCGTAATGTCCATAACGAGTCCGAAACGCGGTCTTCTGCACTTCCTCCTCCCTAACCCTGACCTGATGGTATCTGGACCTCAAGTCTATCTTGGAGAACCAATATGCTCCCTGAAACTGATCGAAAAGATCATCTATCCTCGAGAGTGGATAACGGTTCTTCACCGTTAACTTGTTCAACTCAAGTCTATCTTGGATAACGGTTCTTCACCATTAACTTGTTCAACTCAAGTCTATCTTGGAGAACCACTGATGGTATCTGGACCTCAAGTCTATCTTGGAGAACCAAGATGTTGTGGCTGGTATGTTTCTATCCTTTATCTTATTGATCAATAAGCTCCTTCTCGTTCCAAGATCCTAAACCTTCAAGTTTCTCCAAGAAATGCACCAAACACACACTCTTTAGCCTAGTACACACTCAAAATGGAAGGTTAGCTCGTTTAGGGTTTTCTTCTGGACGATAGGGTGGTAAGGGAGGCTGGAGAGAGGACTTAAGGTCCTTTAAATAGGATGCAAACCCTAAAAATTAGGGTTTTCATGCACAACCTCAACTCGTCGAGTTGGGTCCTCCAACTCGTCGAGTAGGCTTCATAATCTCCGCGGTCGGATCAGTTTCTACACGACGAGTTGGGGCAGCTAACTCGTCGAGTAGGTCTAAAAATATGAATATAAAAGCTTCGAATTTATACCTGGGAGTCGGGATGTTACACTAGGACCCCGATATGTTGGGGTGAGGTCGGTCAGCGAGTCATGGGAAGGACTGAGGTGGTACTCAAGACTACTGAGTAGATTCTACAGGTTCGGGGTAGACTTTAGACAGCACAGAGTCGACATAAGAGCTATTCCAACAAGTGATGATTAGATCTAGAGTTCCAGGTTGGGGATATGGTTCTCCTGAAGGTGCTACCTTGGAAAGGTGTCATCTGATTCAAGAATAAGGAAAATTTGGTCCCTAGTATATCTGTCCTTTCAGGGTTTTGGTCCGGATGTGTAGGGTTGCTTATCACATGGATCTTCCCAAGGAGCTTAGTCAGATCCATAGCACGTTTTACGTCTCTCAGCTGTGGAAATGTGTGGTTGATGATTCCACGGTGGTTTTATTGGAGGATATTCAAGTGGATGATCGCCTAAATTATGTCGATAGACCGATTGCCATCCTTGATAAGAAGACGAAGGCTCTGCGGAATAAGTCAGTGGATCTGGTAAAGGTGCAATGGCAACACCGCAAGGGTTCAGAATGGACATGGGAGCCCGAGGTCGAGATGGGGGAGCATTATCCGGAGTTGTTCGCAACGACGGACATCGAGGACGGAGTCTGATTCAAGTGGGGGAGAATTGTAACATTTTCATTTCAGGTATTTCCCCTTTTGTCCTTAATCTTAAAACTCTTGCATTTTGGTCCCTAGCCGAGTATGCTAGGCGTACGCTAGGAGTATGCTAGGCGTATTGGCTCGATAGATTGGTCACGGAGGCACCCACGTACGCGGGGAGCACGGTCGCCTGGGGAAAACCTTAATTTTTAGGGTTTGTGCCCTATTCAAACACCTTAAGTTACCCTTGGACCTTCTTATGACCAGCCTCTACCTCTCCAAATCCTAAGAACGAAACCCTAATTTTCATTTGAGTGTTTTGAGCTTGGAAGTGAACTTTGAAGGAGTTTTTGGTGATCTTGAAGGAAGAAGAACTATTGGAAGTTACATTGGTGTGGCTAGAGCTTGTGGATCCAAAATCATCATCAACTTGGAAAGCTTTTGGAGGTATAAAGCTCTTAACTTGATGGTTTATTTTGATAGATCTAGTTAGAGCTTGTTTTTGTGCTTTTTATGGTCCTTTAAATCATGTATGAGAGTATGAGCTACTCCAGAAGATAGGGATGGTAGATCTTAGCATTTTTGAGGTTCTTTGTGTATAAAAATGCAATCTTGATGTGTTATATTGGACCATACATGAGTTATGGTTCTTGTTATGGGTTTTATTGAGTATTGGGTCCCATTAAGACATGCAAAGGAGTAAAGTTGCCAACTTTACATGTTAAGACATCATTTATGATCAGATATGAAAAGTAGACTTAGTGCCTTAACCAATTAAGCACTTAATGGCGAGTTGGGCTTGTTGTGGAGTACGTCGGGCGTACCCAACTCGTACGCAGCGCGTACTGGCCCAAGGTGGTGTATGCAGGGCGTAAGTCTGAGTACGATGGGCGTACTCAGCAGCTGTTGACTTTTGTGATTTGGGCCATATTTTGACTATTATGGTTTTGGGCCTTGTTGGGCCAATAGTCTTTCTGACTTTGGGCCATTGTTAGGCTTTGGGCCTATAATGGGCTTTAGGTATCATTTAGGAATTTGGGCCATATTGGGCTTTTTGGTGCCATTGGGTTGGGCCTCAGTTATTGGGCCAAGTGAGGGAAGGGTAAAATGGTCTTTTACCATGGGTGGTGGGCAAATAAACTAGAGTCCTAGTTATGGTTTATGGCCAAATTATTAATTGGGGTTTTATTTGATTGATTAGCGTGGGGATTTTTGGGTTCAAAAGCCCAATCATTTGTTTGACTGACAGCAAACTGATGTGAGTTTGCTCGCTATATTGTAGGACACTAGGATATGTTATATGCTTGTAGTCTTTGTGACTCATGTTGTATATGTTATATGCATGTGTGCCTATTTTCTATATGTATGTGGGGTGAAATAGACCTGGGACAACCTTATGCTGACATATGAGTTTAAATAGACTCGGATATGAAATAGACCGGGGGGTGAAATAGACCCGATATGTCTTTGGGCCGACACATGAGTTGAAATAGAATCGGGGGTGAAATAGACCCGATGGTGAAATAGACCCGACACAGCCTTGAGCTGGCAGATATGTATGGTTTACGATATTTTGGGGAACTCACTAAGCTTCGTGCTTATGGTTTCAGTTTATGTTTCAGGTACTTCCGGATCGAAGGGGAAGAGCTTGGGTTGATCACATCACACACACCATGATTTACGCTTTATTTGACTCTGATGTATTGAGATGATTGATGGACATACTCTGATTTTCGTTTATGGCTTTATGAACATGTTTTGGTTGATGATTTTATTATTATAAAAACAAAATTTTTGGTTTTAAATTTTGGGACGTTACATTAACGCACCCAGATATTTGGGAGAAAATTGAAAGTTTATAAAACTGATGATCGACCAGGCAAATTACATCAGTAAAAGTTAAATAAGAAGCAAAAATTAAAACGGAACCCTAAAGGTCCATAGGCCAAATACAAACCCAAAAACAAAACCCAAAATAAAGAAAAATAACAAAATTGTTCATAACTCCATTTAAAAAGCAATTTTTGGACTAAAAAATGGGTAAGTCTCCTTCGGGTACTTATCACGATATGCTCCTCGTTCCAATCTTCGATTTGACTGGTCGCAGACCCAAAACGGAGCCCCAAGCCAAAGTTATGGTCATTTCCGTGAAGCCCATTTATTCACACGATCGTTGGCCTCTAGGAACGCAAGAGTCTGATCCTCCACACTAGGGCCCGTATCACATTCCAATAAATTAATATTTATTATATGAAGAAACTAATAAATTAAAAGTAATAATCCAATACAAAATAATTAATCTAAAAAAAAGAATTAAAAAAATTAACTAAAAGAAATTAATAATCCAATAATGTAATATTTATTAGAACAAAAATATTATATATTAAAAATATTATTTATTAATATATAATAATTCAATAAAAAATTATTATCTAACAAAAAATAAATAAACAAAAGTTAACTAAAAGAAATTAATAATCCAATAAAATAATATATATTAATATGTAATAATCCAATAAAAATTTAGATAAAAAAAGAATTAAAAAATTAACTAAAAGTAATTAATAATAAAATAAAATAATATTTATTAATATATAATAATCCAATAAAAATCCGATAAAAAATGAATTAAAAAATTTTAACTAAAAGTTATTAATAATCTAATGAAATAATATTTATTAATATATTAATATTATATATTAAAAATAATAGTTATTAATATATAATATTTCAATAAAATTAAAAAAAGATATGCAGAAATAGTCCTTATAGTTTGATAAAAAAACAAAACTATAAAAATAGCCTTTAAAGGTAAAATTGTCATTTTTAAAAAAATTAACAGTCAAACAGTTAAAATTAACGGAAAAAAGATGAAAACCGCAACAAAACTTTTTGAAAATGACTAAATTTATAATTTTTCAAACGTTTTAACGTTAAGCATATAAAATGAGTAACCATGTGGACTATTTTTGCAATTTTTTGTCCACTGTTAAACATGATATAAGATAATAAAATATTAACACGATTATTTTTTTGTGAAAATTTTAAAGGTTATGATAAGAAAAAAATAAACAGAATATTATGGTTAAACTACCAAACAAAATAAAATATCATGACTTTCTTTTAATTTCCCGGTTAAAATAATAATAATATAACCAAATAATAGGAAGCTGTCTTTAGTGAATGATTTTATTTAGTGGATTATTATGAGAACATCACTTTCATTCTTTCAATATTACAAGTGCTAAAAATACCTATTATTTTAAAGGAATAAAAAATCATTAATTTAAAATGTGTAATTTACATATATGAAAAGAAATTTAAATACTGAAAATCATGAGCATTCTTTTAACGACAGAGGAAAAACTCATTCTCCGGTCAATATTCCTCGTTTCCCGTGTGTGCGGTTGACGGGTAAACCCAAACTCCTTTTGGCGGCTTCTTATTCTTCTTCAATTCCATTTCCATGTCATCTTTTGACATAGTAAACACACGACTCTCTCGAAGTGTCGCATGCTAACTCATACTTCTTTCTACTGTTATCAACATAAAATCAACAGTCTTTGTGTAAAGATCCCGTCGTCATCGTTTCTAGATAGTTATTGAACAACCACCCAACAGTAATTCATACGTTTTATATTTATTATAATTATCTGCGCACCAAGTGTTTGAATAAATGCTTGACCGAATCAAGAATATGGGTTTCGTGGCTATACTTTATGCTTTTTCTCCTCTCTTACGGGTGTTCGTTTTCTCCCCTGTTCTCCACCTGTCTGATATAACTATTCTTCCGTTTCCTTTTTTATTATCCTCGTCTATCTTGGTGTCATGATTCTGCTTGTTTGACACGAGACAGAATTGTTTAAGGAAGTTTGTTGTGCTTCTTGTTAAAATTTCAAGATATATTGAAAATTCGAAAGTTTGGTTCATTAAATTTCGTCATAGCAGTTAAAAATGGGAAAGATGTTGTGGACAGATGGAGATCAGTTTGATAATAATCATCCAGGATGCATATCTGGCATATTTCATGCTCTTCATCACCAATACTGGCACTCTAATGTCAAGAAGATAATTCCACATAATACAAACCACAAAGGTATTTAATTTGATTACTTCCCTATTATCAGAAACACGACCATTTGTTTATATTTGTATTGAAAGTAGTTCTATTTCTTATTTTCTTTAGGAAACAGAAGATACACAAGGGTATCAGACAACGAAGATCCTTTTGAATTTGTAAAAACAAGTCATATACTGGTATGTAATATGTTGTTAAATATTTATACACAAAAGTGTCTGTTTCTTGTTTCAATAGAATATACATAATGAATGATAGATGTTCCTTGATGATATTTACTAGGTGGATAAGAGTAATAAAAAAACAAGCTCAACCCAAAAAAAGTCACTAAAAGCTCGTATAAAAGCATTAATTTCTGAAGAACAAAATCAAGAAGTTGTATCAAGCCCAAGGTTACAAAGGACTTATTCAGTTCATCATTCAGAAAGCAATGAATGGGTTCACCCCATCATTTTCTTTCCTGAAAATCAAGAATTTGTATCAAGTCCTAGTAATGTTACAAATCCTGAGAATAAGGATTCTCAGGATATTTTAGAAATGTTTGAAGTTGACAAAGAGTTATTTACAAATATCTTACAAGAAACCTCCCAACTTTCTGATATAAAACCAAAATTAATCAAATCAGGTTCGTTTCCTTCTGGTAGAAATTTCAAGCCAACAACCCTCAAAGATAAGCTGAATGAGTTCTACAAGAAATCAAAATCCAAGAAATCAGATTCATCAAATTACAATGATTTCAACAATCATGGTGTTCATATCAAAAGAGCATCTTCCCTTAATGAATCTAGAGATAGATATGCTTGGTTGTTTGATTTTAATGTCACTAATGAAGGTGTTCTTCGACCTTCTAGAAGCTTGAAGCTAACAAACAAAAGTGACAACTTTTCAAATGCTCAAGAACCAAGTTTTGTTTCAAGGAATCCGGTTTCTTTTCCTTTAGGGTTAAATTCTACGCAAGATTGTGAGTGTTTGAATGAAGATGTAATGGATAAAAGTGACAATCTTTCAGAAGAAGAAATTGAGTCAGATTTTCACATCTCAGAAGAAAATCTTGAGAAGGAAACTGAAAAGTCATCAAAGAGAAAACAATACAAAGATGATGATGATTATAGTTATGTGAAGCAGATTCTAGAGAGATCAGGTTTCATCAACAACGGTTTTGAACAAACATGGTGTTCATCAAATCAACCATTAAACCCATTTTTATTTCAAGAAATAGAGTCTGAATATGTCCATGATCCAGACCAATTTGAAGAGGAACTGAATGAATTATCTCATCGATTACTCATCTTTGAATTGGTTGATGATGTTTTGATTACAATGTATGAAAGATCATTGACATACTATCCGAAATCGTTGTCTTCTTTATGTCACATTCATCCTGCTCCATCTGGATCGGTTCTTGTTGATGAGGTCTGGAAGCGTGTGAGTCGACTCGTTGAGTTGAAACCGGATATGAGTGAGTCGTTGGATTATATTGTGTCTAGGGATTTGGGAAGCGATGATGGTTGGATGAATTTGCAGTTGGATTCTGAGTGTGTTGCACTTGATTTGGAAGATTTGATTCTTGATGAAATTTTAGAAGAATTGTTGTGTGAATGTAGTTAGGGTTTTTAAAATCGCATTCAATCTGATAATTTTCAGAATGTTGTACTTGTAAATATTATTCTTTGATTTAGGATAAATGAGAATCGTATTTTACTATTTGGTTATGGATTATGATGTAGTTTGTTTTTTATTGGGGTATTGAGTCGGTCAAATAGTAAAAACAATCGAGTCTGGTAAAATTCATTGGATCACACCTCAGTAGTTTATATTTTATCCTAAATGATATGTTTGATCACTTAGCAAATTGACATAGACGATTTATTGTAATTGATAAAGCCTTCAAAAATATAATTTTGACAAAACTTTTAAACCAAATTATTCAAGACTAAACTTTATTTTGAGAAATATAAATATTCAAATAAACTGATTAATTTTAATGCCAATATAAACTTGTAAACTAAACTCAATAATAAGAATAATAATCAAATGCTTTTTTTTTTCTAATGTCTAGTGGGCTTGATATAAATGATCAATTAGGCTTCATATAAATGACCATGTAGACTTTGGCCCAAGTGTACTACATTCAATCCCCTACAATTCTACGACTATGCTTCTTTTCCAACTATTTTGGCTTCCCTTTAACCAACAATATTCTGCCATTAATATCAGCAAAGCTTCTATATCACTTAAATTAGGTAATACCAATTAAAAGTTATCCAAAGCTGGGCAAAGCATTGGGGGCTCCTGTAAAAGTTTTATATATCAGTTTAACGTGATAATAAGAAAAGTTGCTTTGGAAAAAATCTGTTGGGGGCATATGCCCCCACTCCTAACACGTTGGATCCGTCATGTTCATGTAGAATGTGCAACTGTATATTTATTATAGGGTTATCACTGATTTTATAAAACAAATTATTTTATTGTCTTCGAGTTGCCAGCAAACCCAATATATTGTGTAAAAAAGTAATGAACTTAGGGTTTATGTGTTTTGACTGCTATTACAAGTTTACCATGTCATTTACATATTTTAAACTTGTTTACAAATTTGGTTCGGATATATATATATATATATATATATATATATATATATATATATATATATATATATATATAATTGTGTAACATCCGGAACCCTAAGGTACTAAATTTACTCACTTTTGCATTTTTGAGGGTGGCTTAATGACCTCAAACCCTAATTTTCGGGTATTTAAGGGAATGAGAGGCTAGGGTTACCCATCCTCAGCCTCTCTCACCCTCTAAGCCTCTGGAATCCTTAGTTTTTGTGTCATCTTGAGTTATTGAGTATTTTGCTTGTGGAAAGAAGGAAAAGGAGAGAAGAAGAAATATCTTGGGAAGGAAGTTGCTTGGGATCATCATCATCACCAACTTTCATCTTGTTTGGACCATTGTAAGAAGTATCAAGACTCAAACTTTATTGCATTTCATGGCTAGATCTAGGCTTTTGGTCCATTTTCTTGTGATTTGTCTTGGTTAGAGTGGAGTAAATCCATAATGTTAGCAAATTTATGGATTCAAGTGGTCCTTTGAGTCTTATATCATTCAGACCTGGGATTTGGTAGAGTATTAGAGCTTGCATGAGAACTTGAGGCCATTTTTGCACTTTTGACCTAAGATGGTGAAGGGACATGCATGGTGCATGCATGCATGAAAAAGCAAGCATTTTTATGAACCATTAGGGTCCCATTTAACTTCTGGAAGAGGTGAGATTGAGGATTGAAAGGATTAAGAACTTTGGAAAAGAGGTTTTGGCTTCAAACAGTTCTCACGACTTGAGACATAAGGTCTCACGACGTGAGCATGAGTCACCGTCCCTGCTGAGTCGTCTGAGTCAGGAGTGATCCCCGGAACCAGATCGGGCACATCTCACGACGTGACCAAGGATTGGTCACAACATGATGCACTGTTTAGGGCTTTTGGACCTTAATGGGCCACTAGTTTCTGACTTGTGGGCCTTATTGTGCTTAGGCCCATTTGGTACCGTGGGTGTCATTTAGGAAATTGGACCTTCTTGGGTTAGGCCCATGAGGGGTTTTGGGCCCATTTAGGATGATGGGTCACTATTGGGCTTTTGGTGTTAATGGATTGGGCCTTGGTTTGGGCCAATTAAGAAAAGGGTAAAAAGGTCTTTCACCCTGGATATTGGTCTAGCAATTTAAATTATTGATTATGGATTGACATCCAATTATTAATTGGATATTTATTTGATGATGTTAGCGCGGGAATATTCCGGACCGACAAACTGAGATTTTTTCTGAGCGATTCTACAGCTTGAGGTGAGTTTCCCCATTGTGTTTAGCGAGTTGAAAGCACCCATGCCGACCCATGGTTTGATATGTTTAGAATGCTAGATGTCTGCATGACTCTAGCATATGTTTATATGTTTATATGTTTATATAATTACCGGGCGGGGCCCAACGACCATTCTGGATGTATCTATCTTTGTGATTATTGCATGTGTTATGTGTTTACTGTTTATATGTTTATACCGATGGCGGGCGGGGCCCTTATCTGTGAGGCTGATATCATGTTTTATAACTGAGACCAAAAGACTTGTCCACAAAAAAGTTGTCCATGTACCTTACATAATACTTAACCATACCAATCCATGTCTATCAAGCTAGACCCTTTTTTTTTTATCTATCTAGTGCCATTGGCATTAGTATAACCATAATCAATTAGTCCCTTCTCTATACTTATATGTTATCAAAGTAACTATAGAAACACATAGTCTTAGGCGCCTACATCTTTTTTATTATATATAGGTGTCCAAATACACTTGGCATCATTAATATGCTACAACATAACTTCAAACCGTTACTAAGGCTGGTGGGTGTGGGCAACATATTATTCCATGTTATCACATCGAAAAGTTGTCACATCATCATCCTAGTCATTTTTGGTGTTATAACATCAAGTGTGGAAATGTGCAACACTAAATAACATGTTATAACACCCATTATTTTCTATTTCATTTTTATTTTATTTTTTCGACTTTTTTAAATAATTATAAAAAACAAATAAAATTAATATAGCATGATATTTTAAAACATAATACTTAAAATAAAAATGACAACAAATGAAAAAAAAATTTAAAAACTTTAAAAAAATTAAAAGACAAAAAAAATTACAATTGTTTCCCTAATGTATTCAATTTCGTGACCATCATAGATGTAATCTGCCAAGTCTTCACGAAGTCGTATGTATTTTTGTGGGTCTTGAATATCAACCACTCTATGTAAATATTCCATTGTCCCTGGTTGAAATTGCACGTGTCTCGGTTCCATAGGCGAATACGCTGCAATATTGCATCCTTTATCTTCGACCACCATGTTATGTATTATGATATATGCATACATGATATCTCGTAGAGTATCTGACTCATAAGGTCGTGCCACATGTTCAACTATGTGCCATTTTGATTTCAAAACTCCAAAAGCACGTTCAACGTCCTTACATGTTTCTTCTTGTCGTCTCGTGAAAAATTTGTCTCTTGGGTCTACTAGGTGTCGAAATGCCTTCATAAATGTGGAATATGGTGGATATATTCCATTTGTAAGGTAATACCCAAACTTATATTCATTTCCATTCACTGTGAAAGAAGCATCTGGTGCCTTTCCTGACAAAAGATCTTCGAATATTGGCAACTGATCGAGAACGTTGACATCGTTGTTGGAACCTGCAACCCCGAAATAAGCATGCCAAATCCATAAATCTTGGGAAGCAACAGCCTCTAATACCAACGAAAGCGCTCCATGATGACCGCTTGCATACTGGCCTTTCCACGCCACGGGACAATTTCTCCGGTTCCAGTGTGTGCAATCAATGCTTCCAAGCATACTCGAAAAACCATGTCTTTCTTCATGCACTGCATATAGTTGTTGCATATCATGCAACGAAGGTTTGCACATGTATTTGTCACCGAAGGTTTATACAACACCTCTTGCCAATCTATACAAACTTTCTCGTACGGTTCTCTCAGACATTCTTATATAATCGTCAACAAAATCAGGCGAATCCCCCATAGCCATAAGCTTAATTGCAGCAACACATTTCTGCAACCCTGTAAATCCTCGTTTACCTCTAGCATCATATCTCATTTGAAAAAATTCATACCTAAATATATATTTAACAGTTAAAAATTGTATTTATTTGATCTAAAAGCGACATTTATAAATTAAAAAACTAGAAAGAAACGATACCTCTCTTCCAAGGCGTTGACTATCCTTTTAAACACATTTTTCACAAACGAAACATTCTTTTGAAATCGCTTGGCTGGTAGACACAATTATCCGCAAAATAATCGTTAACTAGACGTCTATGCTCTTCGTCACGATCTTTATTTAACGCCGCACGCCGTGTGAGTAGTGAAGCTAGATCCGACTGTAGTAGCATGCCCGTATAATACTGGTACATCATACTCACGAAGATATCATCTTCATCGTTATCATCGGTGAACGGATGGGTCAGATCAAAAGGATTCATTTTTTGGTTTTTATTTATTGAAATTATATGTGAAATAGACCTGGCAATTTCATACACGACACGAACACGATACGAGTTTTCCGTGTATGTGTTTTATAAATTCGTGTTTATTCGTGTCTGACACGTATTTTAAAATTGTGTTTCGTGTCTTACACGTGTCAAACACGAATTTACCTGTTTAGACACGTATAAGACACAATACATATTCGTGTTGACACGTGACACGTACAAACACGTATAAACACATATATACACATATATACTTTAGGGTTAAATTTTGTATTTATAATATATTATGGACCAATTTTGTAAAAGTCAATAACTAGTTTATAGCCGTAGCTTAAAAAACCCATTAAAAACGTGTTTATTCGTGTAACATGGCTAAAAAACATGTCTATTCGTGTCGTGTCACGTGTCACACGATTTTTTTACGTGTCGTGTTTGTGTTTGATACCCCAAACACATTTTATAATTCGTGTCGTGTTCGTGTTTAGCGAATTCGTGTCGTGTAAATTCGTGTCTGACACGAATACACGGATTACGAGGTCTAATGTGAAATGGAAAGAAAAAATGAAAGTGAAATTGAGAGAAG